TCTAGCTAAATTTATTCCTAAATATTTCATCTTTTGGGTGACTATTGTAAATGGCATTATTTTCCTAATTTCCTTTTCAGATTTGTCTTTAATATATAGAGAAATCCTAATAATTTTTGTATATTGCTTTTATACCATGCCACTTTGCTGAATCCTTCAATGGGTTCCAATAATTTCCTGTTGCATTTTTGGTATTTTCTATATATAAGATCATATTATCTATAAATGAAGTTTTAGTTCTTCTTTGCTAATTTGGATGCCTTTAATTTCCCTATTTGCCTTAATACTCTAAGACTTACACAATATTGACTTGGAGTTATGATAAAGAGCATCTTTGTTTAGTTCCTGTTTGCAAAGGGAATGCTTTCAGTGTCTTTACATTGAGAGTACTTCTGATTGTTGGATTTGTAGATATGCTCTTAATTATGTTTGGGAATTTCCCTTCAATTCCTACTTTGTTGAGTGTTTTTATCAAGAATGGATGTTGGATTTTGTCAAATGCCTTTTCTGCATTTGCTGATATAATCATGAGGTTCATATCCTTTTTTAAAAATTATATGCTGATTATGTTGATTGTTTTCCCAATATTGAAACATCCTTGCATCCCTGGAATGAATCCCACTTGGTCATTGTGTATAATTTTTTTGAAATGTTGTTAAATTTATTCTATTAGTTCAAATTTTGCTGAGAATTTTTGTATTTATGCTCAGGAGGGCTATTAGTCTATAATTTTCTTTCTTAGTGATGTCCTTCTCTGGCTTTCATACAAAGGTTATGCTCACTTCATAAAATGTATTCTGAAGTTTTGCATCCTTTTCTATGTTCTGGAATAGTTTGAGTAAGATTGGTGTCAGCTCTTTTCTGAATGTTTGGTAAAGTTCACCAGTGCAGTTATCTGAGCCTGGACATTTTTTGGTTGGGAGTTCTTTGATCAATTTCTTCTTTTGTTATAAATTTGTTCAAGTTTTCCACTTCACTCCATGTTAGTTTAGGTACATTTATTGTTCTAAAAATGTATCCATTTCCTGTAAGATTTTCAAATTTGTTGGAGTGCAGCTCTTCATAGTATTATGTTATTATCCTTTTTATTTCCATTGGTTCTATTGTGATGCCACCCATGTGGTTTCTTATATGTGTCATTCCTTCTTTTCTTTTGCTAGATTTGCCAATGGTTTGTAGATTTTATTAAACCTT